TAAATGCTATCCCTTCCACACATCATTTCAGCTCTGGTGAAGAGTTATCTAGACTTGAAATGCTAGCTCTCTCTCTCTCTCCATGGATCCTGCCTGACTCGCTGTGATCTCCAGCATATTTTGTTTTCAGTTCAGATTCCAGCATCTACAGTAATTTGTTCCTATGTGGAATTAACAAGTCTGTTTTACCTATGGAATTTAATCAGTTTACAGATTGTTCTTCTCTACAGCTGTACTTCAATACACAACATACCGTGAATAAATTTCCTGATTACCTACACCCCAGTGTTACTTTCTAATCACTGGCAAATTAAACAAAATAACTTAGAATGACTTGCACCAACCATGAAATGATACTTTGACTCTCGAAATCCAAGAAGAGAACAATAGGTAATAAGTTGTCCTGGATCAAAGTAGAAAGCTCACTGCTACAGAATAAATTGTGTTTCACTGTAACAATACCAGAACCCAAAAAATGGAGTAGAGGGGCAGCTTTAGCTTAGAACCGGTCTACTCCCAATTGTGTAGGAGATCAAGCAGACTAAGATTCATCCTATCGATCCTAGATAGGGCTTTAAACTAATCAGTAGGGAGTCGAGTTCAATTGCATAGAAAATTAGAAAATCTATGGTAAAGGAAAAGGTAAGACTGCAGGTAATGATGGGGCTGATTTTACTAGAAAATAAAAGGAAGAGACAGATTAGTTAATATCATATTTCACCAAGGAAGCATAACAGCGTAGGGAAATTTGATAATAGAACAAGCTTAAAGGCTTTGTACAATGTACAAATAATTCAAAATAAGGTAGACAAACTGATGGGGCAAATTGAGGTAATCTCGTAGCCATTACAGAAACACGGTTACAGGGAAACCATACAGGGAAATCAAAATTGGGAACCTGCCATTCAGGGATATTTGACCTTTCAGAAGACAGGAGAGATGGAAAAGGTGGTGAGAAGGCACTGTCAAAAAGAGATGAAATGAGGACTGTTGAGAGAGACAATCCAGGCTCGGAGGATATAGAGCTCATTTGGGCAGAGGTAAAAAAAAGCAGCAAGGGAAAGAAGACATTTGTAAGAACAGTGGACAGACCCCCCGACCAGTAGCCATTCTGTAGAAAAGGCTATAAATCCACAAATTTGTAGGAGTATGTAAAAAGGATTAAGCAATAATTATGGGTGATATTAATTTTCATGTCGATTGGGGTAATCAAATTGGACAGGATAGCTATGACAACAAATTCAAAGAATGCATTTGGGATAGCTTCCTAGAGCAATATATCATGGAGCCAAGGAGGGAGCAGGCTATCTTGAATCTGGTAATGGGCAATGAAGCGGGCTTGATAAATGACCTTAGAGTAAAAGATACTCTGTAGCGCTCATAACATGACAGAATTTAATATTCAGTCCAAGAGTGAGAAACTTGGGTTGGAAACAACTTTGTTTAACTTAAATACAGGGAATTACAATGAAATGACAACAGAACTTACGAAAGTGAACTAGGCAGATAAATTAGCAGGAATGACATTATGCAAGCAGTGGCTGACATTTAAGGAGGTAATATATGACTCTCAGCAAAAATACATTGCAGTAGGGAGGAAAGATTCTAGGAGAGGGATGAACTAACCATGGCTAACCAAGGAAGTTAACGAGAGTATTAAGTTGAAAGAAAAAACATGTAAGGAGGCAAAAGTCAATGTTAGCTCCAAAGACTGGAATAAACTCAGAATCCAGCAAAGGAGGACTTAAAAGATAATAAAGAATGAGGAAGTATACTACGTGGAATCTACATGGAATTAGTGAGGAATATAAAAACTGACAAAAAGAGCTTCTTTAAATATATAAAAAGGAAGACAAAGGTCAAAGTGAACATAGGTCCTTTTGAAAATGAATCTTGGGAGACAGTATTGGGGAACAAGGAAATGGCAAAGGAAACAAACAGGTATTTTACATCAGACTTACAGTGGAAGATACTTCAAACGTTTCATTAATACTAAAGAATACTGGGTTGAATTAAGTGCCATTACTATCACTGGACATGTAGTATTAGACAAACTAATGAGACCAAAGTCAGGTAAGTCCCCTGGCCCTGATTGTACAAAACGAGCAGTGGCAAACATTTAAAGAGGTAATTCATGGCTCTCAGCAAAAAATACATCAAGGTAAGGAGGAAAGATTCCAAGAGAGGGATAAACCAACCATGGCTAACCAAAGAAGTTCAGTGGAGTTTTAAGTTGAAAGAAAAAGCACAAGGAGACACAAGTCAGTGACAGCGCCTGAGACTGGAATAAACACATAACAAACGAAGAAGGGCTAAAAAGATAACAGAGAGAGAAAAAATAAACTACAAGGGCAAACAAGCAAGGAGTATAAAAGTGACAATAAGGGCTTCTTTAAATGTGTAAAAAGGAAGAGACAGATTAAAGTGAACACAGCCCCTTAGAAAATGAATCTGGAGAGATGTTATGGGGAACAGGGAAATGGCAGGGGAGTTCAACAGATATTTTGCATCAGTCTTTACAGTGGAAGATGCATCAAACATTCCATTAATACTAAAGAACGTGGGAGAGGAATTAAGTATTGTCACCATTATGAGAGAAGTAGTATTAGACAGACTAATGGGATTTAAGGTATATAAGTCCCTGGCCCTGATGGCTTGCATTCTAGATTCTTAAAAGAGGTAGCTACAGAGACAGTGGATACAGTGGGTGTAATTTGGGCAGCACAGTGGCTCACTGCTTAGCAATGTTGCCTTACAGCTCCAAGGACCCAGGTTTAATTCCAGCCTTGGGTGACTGTCTGTGTGGAGTTTGCACATTCGCCCTGTGTCTGCATGGGTTTCCTCTGGGTGCTCCGGTTTCCTCCCACAGTCCAAAGATGTGCAGGTTAGGTGGATTAGCCATGTTAAATTCTCTATAGTGTCCAGGGATGTGTAGGCCAGGTGGATTAGCCATGGGAGATGCAGGGTTACAGGGAAAAGGTAGGGGTCTGGGTGGGTGGGGAGGGTAATGTAGACTCGACGGGCCAAATGGCCAGCTCCCACACTGTAGGAATTCTATGAATTTTCCAAAAATCATTGGATTCTGGAGAAGTACCAGAGGATTGAAAAACTGCTAATATGACACTCCTTTTCAAAAAGGGAAGAGCATCAATCGTGAGAAAAGTATTGGAATCAATTATTAAGGAAATAATAGCAAGACATTTGGAAAATCATAATCTAATCAAGCAGAGTCAGCACTGCTTTACGAAAGGGAAATTGTGTCTGATTAACTTTTTGGAGTTTTCATCAGAATGGAGAGATGGGAACCAGTAGATGTTATATTTGGACTTCCAGAAGGCATTTGACAAGGTACCTCAAAAACAGTTAAGTCAAAGGAGCCCAAGAAGGTGGACGTAGAATACTGGCATGGACAGAATTGGCTAACTGACAGGAAACAGCAAGTGGGGATAAGGGGTTCTTTTTCAGATTGGTGACCGGTGACTGGTGGGGTTTCACAGGGAACAGTGCTGGGATAGCAACTGTTTATAATATACGTTAATGACTTGGAGGAAGGAAGAAAATGTACTGTAGCCAAATTTGCAGATAACACAAATATAGGCGGAAAAGCAGGTTGCGAGAGGGATACAAACAGTTTACAAAAAGATATTGACAAGTAAGAGGGCAAAAAGTTGGCAAATAAGAGTTTAATTTGGGAAAATGTGAAATTGTTCATTTTGGAAGGGAGAACAAAAGAGCATTTTTTAAAATGGAGAAAACTGCAGAAAACTGGAGCACAAAGAGACGGCCACAGAGAGCTGTTGGAGCAGAGTCCTTCTGTATATTTAAGGCTGAGATAGATAGATTCTTGATCAGTAGGAGAAATGAAGGATTAAGGGGAAAGGGTAGGAAAGTGGAAGACAGGAGCATCAGATCAGCCATGATCCGACTGAATAGTGCAGATAGCTCAAGAGGCCAAATGGCCTACTCTTTTTCTTATTTCTTTTGGCCTTAATCAAGTTGAGAATGGAAAAAGACATCTTCAAACAAAAATGTTCTTTATGCTTCATCTTACTCCCTTTCAAACTTACGTGGAAAACTGGAGAAGTCACATAATCCTTGTTTTTCAAAATGGAAGGACAAATATCAGTTGTGCTCATAATTTCATGTTTGTATTCTTGCACAATGTTGCAAGTTTGTGCTACTTTGTGAACTATTTTATTTCCAAAGGCCACAGCTGCTTTGAAGTTACGAATACTTCCTGGCATAAATTTAATTTCCCCATTGAACTTTCAAGATGCTATAAAGCAGTTTTAATCTACTTAAATATTAAAATAAAAAGAAGGTGCAATACTGAATGCAGGAAAGAAGAACCTTGGTCAACCTGTGAGGAAGTTCTCACTTATGAACGCACATTATGAGTTGATGCTGTCTGTCAGCAAATAGTTATATTGTTAAAATATAGTCCAAGTCTCTCCAAAATCTTGGATATATCTTTGTAAGCTCCCAGCACATGGGGAACATTCCGTCCTCATTTCGTAGGTGGTTCTGGTTTTTCCCCAGGTTTCCCGTCATAACCTACCACTATTTGATATAGACTGGATACCATATGAACTAAGCTCTGACTGTTAAGGCTAGTTACACTGCCGTTATGAATGTTTGACTCTGTAATGCTTTGCTGTTTTTTTTTTGGAGTGTATGCTCTCCAACTCTATGTACTCAACAACATTTAAAAACAAACAAAAATAAGTCAGTGTATTTTTCCAATAAAATGAGCTAACAGCTTTTGACATACAGTTGATGTAGCTAAAAGTTATGTTTCCAAGAAACTTACAATTCAACCATTCTTAAAAAATTGACTATCTGACTTGATGTTTTAAAACATTTTGGCATAAACTTTTTGTCCAAAAGTTAATTAAGAATAAACAGAATGACCTTTTTGCTGGTTATAACAGATAACTGGCTTTAAAACAGTATGTTTTGCAGAAATATATAGAGTTGATGATCACTGTCCCTTTACACAGGTCCGTGGAAGGATTGCTACCATGTCCAGCAGGCTGGATATTCAAACAGTGGCATGTATCTAATCAAACCAGAAGGCACCGATAAGCTAATACAAGTTTGGTGTGACCACAGCCATGACCAGGGAGGCTGGACTGTAATCCAGCGTAGGGTTGATGGGGCAGTCAACTTCTTCCGGAACTGGGAGAACTACAAGGTAAATCTGTGAAGAACTCCACTTATTTTCTTCAGAGAACACTGCATTCTGTAGGTGTGACAACACATTCTGGTATTGATGACAATGTGTACAACTTCCTACCATCACATTGAAAAAAATGCTAGTCACAGACAACTTCAGAGATCTCACATGGCAGCGATTTTCAAATATTCACATGTGAGGCACACCGTGCAAATACTGGCAACATTGCAATGGAAGCCTGGTCATAAAACTTCCAAAGGATACCTAGAGCAACCAAATGGTGGAGAGCTCCGTGGCCACAGATTAAGTCTTTTATTAATGTTGGCAAAAGAAACGTTGTTCTTGAATGCCAATCTATCCAAATTACAGATGCACTGACAGAAATCCAGATTTTGTGTTAAGACTCATGGGCCCTTTGGGAACAATTTACTGATTTTAGTTTGAATATCATTGCTGCATACATTTTTATTTTCTAACAATCTCTCCCACTTTGTGCCAATTCAGGGAAATTCTGTATTGTGTGCCTGTCACAGATGTTCACTGCATCATCATAAAGCTGCAACAGAATATCATGAAAATTATAATAAAACACTGACTGAGGAGATGGCGGTCATGCAGGTGATGAGGAAATAAAGCAGCAAATCCAAATTTCAGCTCAAGTCAAATGACCAAACACAGATTTTCCAAAGAATGCCAAATTCTCAGAAATTGATAATGTAGTACAAGCCATTAAATTATACTTATTGCAAAAAGAATCATTTACGACAACGTAGATACTGCTCATTCTGGTTTTGGCCTGCGGCACTAGTGTTTTCAATATCAGAATAGGTTACAGTAGCATGTGAGCTGTGAACAGGGAAATACATTCATGCCAATTGTCAAAAGCTATGAAGTAATATATATCTGTTCTTGTTGATAAAGTTGTACCTATTTTTCAAGTTTAATGTCATGATTGATGGAAACAGGAGACTCACTCCATTCAAATGATGATGGAGGCAAAAGATCATAACAACAAAAATCGCTGAATATTACTAAACAGCTCATAGAACCTGCTCTGTCATGCAAAATGTTCATGGCTGTCCTTGGGTTTCAACTCTATTTTCCGGTCTGTTCTCCATTTACCTCGATTTCCTGAGAGATCAAAGCCCTACATTTCAGTTTTAAAGAGATTCAAGGTTGGTACATCCACAGCCCTGTGGTTTCGCAACCATTTTGCTTCAAGAAATTTCTCTTCATCTCAGTCCTAAATCACACCTTGAAACCGTGGCCTTTTGATCTAGATTTTCAGCCAGGGGAAATAAGATCCCAGGATCTACCCTGTCAAGCCACTTCATAATATTGCAAGATGAAAAGAAATCACTACTCATTTATCTAAATTCCAGAAAACATGCACTGAGTTCTTAGCTTTAACCTTTTCGTTACAAGATCAATTTTAGTGAATCTTCACTGCATCACCTCCCCTGCAAGCATATCCTTCTAAATATATGAAGACCAAACTACACACAATACTCCAGATGCTGTTGGATCAAAGTCCTGTACCAAAATTTCCTTATTCCTGTACTCGAATCCTCTTGCGATGAAGGTCAACTTGTCAGTTGCTCTCTTAATTGCTTCCTGCACTTTTACACTAATTTTGTCTTCCTTGAACAAATACACCCATGTCTCTTAGAATATCAACATTTGCAAGTTTCATGCTTTTTAAGAGAGATTCTGTTTTTCTATTCTCACAGCCAGAGTAACTAACCTCTCAATTCCCAACATGATGCCCCATATGTGATCTTGTTGCCCATTCAATTAATCAGAATACATCTCTTTCCAGCCTCTTTGTATTCTGCTCACAGCTACAATTTCCACCTGGCTTTGTATAATCAGCAAACTTAATGTTAATTTCCAAGAAGGACTAGGAGGCTGAAATGTTAAACACCAGGTGCTTTATTATGGAGGTGTTTACTCTACAGACAGGAGATTAGACTAAACTATTTTCAGCCCAAAATGGCTGATGGCATCACCACTGTCACAATTGGACTCTTGAAGTGACAGCCCATCATTTTACACAGATATACAACATCCCTCTCCCTTCACATCAGAGGTTCCTACAATGAAAATATTCACAATATTTGCAATCATATATATAATAGTAGGTAACACATTCTGGAGGACATCTATTCCTGAGTGGACGTTGGCGCATCACAGGCGTTTGTTCATTTTTCTCAGTGGCTCTCAGTACACTGGGAAAATCTGTCACTGTTTATTCCTCAGATGACAATGTTTGGAGGTTCACACAATGTCATGGCAGTCTTCAGTAGGGTATTGTCTCCCTCAGATGCTCCAGTTATTGTTCTGTCTTCAAGTATATTCAGATCTCTATTTGGCACAGTGATTTATAGATCTTCAATTAATGCCTTTGGCACATTCATTCTGGTTGCCAAAAGTTGGTGCATCATCTCTTGTCTGTATGATGTAGGAGACTGGTCCAGTCTGTGCTACAATGATGGCGAGCACCATTTCTTGCCAATGACAGTAATTCCTCGCCAACATTTCTTGACCTTTATGGCAAACAGTGTTTGGTCTTGTTCTTTTTTTGGAAAACCTGATTTTTTTATTTCCTGTCAACAATGTCTTTGGCAAGGGTGATTTCAGCGAAGGAAATGCTGCGTGCAAATGGCGCATTATCATGAGCAATGCTGGAGAACTTTGAGTCCTCAAGTGTGCTGTGCCCTGGTATGTTAAAAATTTGCTCAGTCATTTGGAGAGTGATCCTTGTTTTCAAGTTAGCCTTAAGGAATTGTTCATTGTCTGAACTAACCTTTTTGCCATTTCATTTGTGGCTCGGTGATAAGGAGCTGATCAGATATGCAGAATTCTGTTCTGCTTTAGATAGTCCTTAAACTCTTGTGAGATAAGTTTAGACAATAATCACATATAAGTTGTTCCAGATAATCAAACCTCACAAAGATCACTCCCAGTCTTTCAATGGTTTTTTCTGAAGTTGTCAACTTCATGGTGGCAACTTCAGGCCAATTAATATGTGCATCATCCACTGTGAAAAACACGCGCCCTTCCAAAAGTCTGATGTAATCAATATGGATACTTTCTGGTCATTCCCATGGTTTTAATGGCACTAGTGAAGGTAGGTTTTGAAATCTTGTGCAAGTAGCACAAATTCCCACATTCTCCTCAATTTTAGAGTTGAGCCCTGGCTACCTCCTTCATTCCAACAATGCTACTATGACCTTTGTGCAATTGATTTAACACACATTTCTTCAGTCGTGGTGGATTTATGACCCTCGTTTCCCACAGTAGACATTCTCTTTGTATTGATAGTTCTAGCTTCTGTGTGAATATGGCTTTACTTCTGGAGTTATTCCTGTGTTCTTGCCATGAAGTATTATGTCTATCACTTTGATAGTAATGGACCGTTTCTAGTGTATTTCTTAACTTGGCCTGCTGTTGCCAGTGTTCTTTATATGTTCAAAGTAGAAAATGTCCATATAAGGACTGTTTGCAGTCCGCTCATTTGGCAAAAGTAATCTAGAACATGCATCAGCATTCCCATGCAAGTTAGATTGCCAATAAATTGCATAAGAGCGAGCTGATGGCAACAAATCCCACTTCTGCATATAGCTCACTGCGAGAGAAAGTATCCCTGTGAGGTTCAAATATTGTGGTCAATGGTCTGTGGTTTTTCAGTAGGATAAATTCCCAGATGTACATGTATTGGTAGAAATGTCAAATGCTGAAAAGGATTCCTATAGGTTCTGTATCTTTTTGGTTTGTGTAAAAGCTCTTTCACATTTATAGTCCCATGTCCAATTCTTGTTTTGACATAATCAATGTGACTCAGCTGCTTCTGAGGCACACTTTCAAGTATCAATGAAACTGCTGCTCTCGTGTCCACCTCCATTTTTACCAGTTTGCCATTCAGTGACCCAGTGTGCGTTGGTATCACCAGCAGTGACCAGTATATTTAATAACAGCTCCTCTTTGGACTGATAGTCTGAACTTTTCTCATGCTCCTTTCATACCATGTAAATTTTGATCCTACTGTTCAGTTTCTGTATGTGTAGAAGTTCCAGCTCTTTGTATTTTCAACGACTCCAAAATTTCCCAGCATCTTTTTTAAAGAAAAGGGCCTGTTTAGCATGTAACATGGAAGTTTTTCCACTACATCACCTATTCCCACTTAAAATAAGGTATTCCTGAGGCTGCGAGACAGTAGGAACTGCAGATGCTGGAGAATCTGAGATAACAAGGTGTAGAGCAGGATGAACACAGCAGGCCAAGCAGCATCAGAGGAAGAGGGGTCTAGGCCTGAAACATCAGCCTTCCTGCTCCTCTGATGCTGCTTGGCCTGCTGTGTTCATCCAGCTCTGCACCTTTTTATTCCTGAGGCTGATTTGCTTTCTCAGTCTACACCCTACCTCAAAACATTTCACTCCATGTAGGGGACTTATTACTCAGTGTTCCTTCAGGGTGGAGAATACAGCATTGTTTACCACTTCCTAGTGTGAATTTTAGTTCTCTTGCCGACTGTCCCTGCTTTGCTGCAGCAATGGCATCTTTTGATTTCTTTTTCTGCAGCGAGAACCACGATTCCTTTTCTTGTTCAACATCAGTGGATCTCGAAGCCGTTTTCTTCTTCTTCGCCAGTCTTTCTCTCATGTTAAGTTCCAAGAAGGACCAGGAAATCAAAGTGTTAAACAGCAGAAACTTTATTATGGAGATGTTTACTCTACAGGCAAGGTTAAACTAAACTAATTCTCACCTAAAATAGCTGATGACATCATATGTCACATAATGAGACTCTTAAAGTGACAATCCATCATATTTACACAGATATGCAGCACTTAGATACATTACTCTCTATCTTTTCCACTAACTCATTAATATAGATTACAAAGTAGTAGGGGCCCCAGCACTGATCCTGGCATTAGAGGCTGGAAACTTGAAAATTATTCATTTATTGCTATATCCTGCTACTTGCCCATCAACTAATTCTTCATCCATGCCAATATATC